GTGTACCCCGGCTCCATGTTCCTGATGACCCGAGCGCTGCTGCCGCTGCTGCAGCAGGGCCAGGAGCGCCTCGTGGAGCGCTACCACGGCCGGCGGGCCAAGCTGGTGGCCCGTGATGGCAACGAGATCGACACCATGTTCATGGATCGCCGCCAGCACCCGGGCAGCCAGGGCCGCGGCCTGCGCCTGGTCATCTGCTGCGAAGGCAACGCCGGCTTCTATGAGATGGGCTGCCTGTCGGCACCGCTGGAAGCCGGCTACTCGGTGCTGGGCTGGAACCACCCGGGCTTTGGGGGCAGCACCGGCGAACCGTTCCCTCAGCACGATGCCAACGCCATGGATGTGGTGGTCAAGTACGCTCTGCACCGCCTGCACTTCCCGCCGGCGCACGTGGTGATCTATGGCTGGTCCATTGGCGGCTTCACAGCCACCTGGGCCACCATGACCTACCCGGAGCTGGGTGCGCTGGTGCTCGATGCCACCTTCGACGACCTCGTGCCTCTGGCCCTGAAGGTCATGCCCCAGAGTTGGAAGGGCCTGGTGGTGCGCACCGTGCGCGAACACTTCAACCTCAATGTCGCGGAACAGCTGTGCAGCTACCCCGGGCCGGTGCTGCTGCTCCGGCGCACGCTGGACGACGTGGTCAGCACCTCGGGCCACCTGCGCCCCCTGCCGTCCGGCGACGTGGAGGGCAACCGCGGTAACGAGCTGCTCCTGCGCCTGTTGCAGCACCGCTACCCGGCTGTGATGGCACGGGAGGGCCTTGCCATCGTGACCCGCTGGCTGCGCGCGGGCAGCCTGGCACAGGAGGCAGCTTTCTATGCTCGCTACCGCGTGGACGACGACTGGTGCCTGGCGCTGCTGCGCTGCTACTGCTCGCGCTGCGAGGACACGCAGGAGGACGGGGAGGCCTGGGGGCCCCATGGGCTTGCCTTCCCGTGGCAGGTGGGTCAGGGCCTGAGCCCTCGGCGGCGCCGGCAGCTCGCGCTCTTCCTGGCGCGCAAACACCTCAAGAACGTGGAGGCGACTCATTGCAGTCCGCTAGAACCCGAGGACTTCCAGTTGCCCTGGAGGCTGTAGCCAGAGGCTCCGCAGCAACCGGTCTTTGTGCTTTTGCTCACCTCAAGGGCCTCAGGGCCGCTCCCCTCCCCGCACCCCATCCAGTAAAGCTGGCCTGCCCTGGGGATCCCAGCCTAGTGTCTGCGAGAGGGTAGGGCGTTCCCCACTCCCTTTCTCTTCCTCCCTCAAACACTTGTGGATGTCCCAGTCTGCTCCCAGCTCCTAAAGGGAATGCAAAGATTAACTTGTGTGATGGGTGCTTTGAACACCTCAGAAAGATGGTGGGAACATGGGCTGTGGGGCCCAAGGAGGTGCTGTTTACCCAGCCTGGGTGACAGGATGGCTCTGGGAAAGATGAGTGTTGAAGAGTCTGTACAGTCACCCTTACCTGTGAAAGGATATTGGCGTCTATAAAGCAGGTCTTAGCAGCGGGACCTTCCTGGACCGTGATGCTGCTGCTTGTAGGGTCCTCTCCCCACCTTCACTCCTGGCTGCTGCTACAAGAGGGGTTCAGTGGGACCACAGGCTCAAAGTCACAGGTACACACCACATGGCATGTCCCTGTAGGGCTACAGGCTCACCTGCACCAACCGCTCACCCCTGAGCCAGGCCTGGGCTGGGACTTGTTCCTAGCTCAGGGATGCAATACAGAATGAGAGAGAAGCCCTCTGCTCACCATTTTCTGTGATGCAGTCACTTTCTTACTGTCCGCTCTAAACTGTGTGAAGCAGGGACTACTGGCTGTCCCCAGCCTCTGGGCACAGGCTGGCCAGGGTGGGTAGAGCAAGAAACTCTGGAAAAAGTGAAAGTCAAGTGGGGCAAACATATAACTGATGGCACCAGAGAAGGACACGGCCATGATGCGCCCGGGAAAGTACAGGCAGAAGTAGGTACATAGGTGATCTAAGGTGCCAGGAAGACCCCTTGGGCCTGAGCTTTGAGCTGAGTCCGGAAGAGTTGGGTGGAGGAAGCGGCGTCCAAGCCTGGGGCAGAGTGGCCAGGCCGAGCTCCCCCAGTCAGATCCTGAAGGCTTGAATCCCGAGAGGATTTGCTTCCAGGGGCACTTAGAGAAGGGAGGTTACGGGACTTGTCTTTGCAGGATTGGCTGCCTACCGGTCACACACCTCTGGTTTGAGAAGTTAGGCAAGTCAGACTCCGCTGGAAGCCCCCCGACTAGCTGAACGGCCTTGGCGGTTCCTCTAACCGCGGCTCACTCTCCGTGAAGCGGGAGGGC